ATAATAATTTATTGTTTCTTTGTTATTAGATGTCGTTATTTGTATTCAATTAACAAATTTAAATATTAAAATATTATAAAAAAATATAATAATATGAAAAACATACTAATTTAGAAATAATAAGGCTAAATAAATAAATATTAAAAAAAAAATAATATAAATTTAAATTAATAAAAAAAAAACTAATTAAAAGAAAAATATGTATTAATTAAACAAAAGAGTACCTATAGAGTATAGGTACTTTAGTACTTACACAAATTTAAGGTACCTACATAAATAATATTAACATTTGTCTATTATATTCTCTTCTGCCATTACTCATTTTATAGTTAAATTTGAGTTTGAGACCTATGATCTATAAATTGGCAAATTAATAAACACTTCTTAATAAGTACATTTTCTTTAACATAACTTTGTGTAACAAAAAAACTCAATAGCTACTTTTACTTTTAAAATGTATAATAACATTATAATGTGTAGAGGTTGTGAAATGTTTTTGTACATTTAATGAAAATAGTGGTTGCATGATTGTGCAGGTAAGTATGTAATATAATAATTGAAAAATAATAATTCATTAATTCATTATTTACCTAATTAGTTAACTATATAGTTTAAGAGTTGACACCTATCTAATAGGTAGTATGTATCATGTATACAATGTATCTATGATTTAAAAGTTTCATTATAAATTAAAGAAATACCACAGCACCACAACAAAGATAGCTTACACAGTTACACGTTAGCTGGTGTAAATAATGGCCATAGCCTATCTTGACCAGTTTAATGAGTTTGAATGCTGGATGAAAAAACAAAAACTATTAAAGTATAAGGAAATAATATTTTGTTATTTATATTTGTACATTTATAAATCTGTCTGTATTTATGTCTGTCAACTCTACTAATAGTGATATTAATAGTTTGAACTAAAGAATGCCCAGCTATTTTGCCAGCTTAGTGCATTTTGTGGACAATATTAACATATTTAATAAAATATTCTCAAACATCTTTAGCATTTAAACTAGGGTTTCCAACGCCTCTTCTCTCTCCCATTCCTTTAATGTTGCCATTTTCAAAATCTTGTTTTTCATTCAATTACTGAACAAAGTCATGTAATACATATGTATGTACATGTACAAATACATACCTACTGCTTTAGTAATCTAAACATCAAAATCTGGGGAAGCCAAAATTGTTGTATGAAACACTCTCCATTTATTTGAAAGGATTCCAAATGTACATTCAATGTACCTACCTTCTAGCTCTGAACAGCCAGTAATAAAAAATCCTCCTCTCATCGGTCAAGCTTTTTTTCTGGATATGGCCAGAACAAATGTTTTTATAAGGCAAATGCCTCATCAGTCATAACCAACTAAAATAAATGGTAAAGGTAAACCATCTCCATCCCAGGAAAAGAAGCATGAGGGGAAAGTTCATTTTTCCAACACATATTTTTTTCCAAACCATGACTGTTTACATACAATATTACAGTCAATCTCTTTTCCATATGATCCCCAATCCATTATTCTGAAGCAATAGTTTACATCACTCATTCCAAGCAGAATTAATGAAAAGAAGTGTTTGTAGTTAATAGTTATAGTTAAGTATTTATGAAACCAATAATAAGCTTATTATTATAGAACTATTGTCAATACCTCGAGGTGAATATTATTTGTGACATAATAATAATAACTATAATATAAATGTTAGGAAATGTTTGGATAAATTGTACATTGGTATCTATAGGCTATTAATATTAAATATTTATACTTGTTAGGGTAGAGTTGATAATTAAAAAAATTATGATTTAATTTAGGTAGGTAACATTTAATTTTTTATGACATAATTTTTTAGGTCTTAGATCTTCAATTAGTTTCAACAACACACAGCCAACTAGTAATATAAAACAAAATTATGCAGGGAAAATGTCATGGAAACTTGATTCCAATAATCAAATCATGATACATTATGTTAATTACAATTTGTATGGTGTAATTGCATTTTATGGTCCAGAAAGAGGTGATCTAAGACAGACGGATGGGCATTATGTTGCATATTGATTAAAGTCCAATCAGCAGTGGGAGTCTTATGATGATACAAAAGACCAAGTATAATTAAATACACCTCATTTAAAGTGAATGCTGAAATGTACCTGTTATTTTTGTCAAAATTATTATAATTTTAATTATTAAATATCAATAACATTTTTGTTATATTATATTATAATAACTGTTCTTATGAGTTAGGTATGTTTGATATTACCATTTAAATAGGAATTGTTAAAATTAGTGATATATATAAGTACCTATATGGTCTGTTAAGTTTATTGTAGTCATCAAAATGTTTATGATATGTAAATGAAAATGATTAATATATTATTATTATTATTATATAATATACTATACATTTGGTAACAGTCAGTCAAATACATGAAAAAGGCTAATATTGTTATTTTCCACTTGGGTGGGGTTGGAGAAAAGTTTCCCACGCCCCGTCCATGGAAAATTGAATTTTAAGGGCGAACCGTTGCCGTACAAATTTCGGAAACGGTCATACAAATTCATGCGAATCACGTGCTAAATATTGGCGTAGAAAAGTTTGCTGAAAAGTAGTTTTTCCGCTTGGGTGGGGCCGGAGAAACGTTTCCACCGCCCCACCCGTGGAAAATTGCATTTTGCGGGTGAACCGTTGCCGTACAAATTTCGGAAACGGTCGTACATATTCATGCGAATCACTTGCTAAATATTGGAGTAGAAAAATGTTGTGAAAAACTGTTTTCCCGCGCGGGCGGGGCCGGAGAAACGTTTCCCCCGCCCCACCCGGGGAAAATTGCATTTTGCGGGCGAACCGTTGCCGTACAAATTTCGGAAACGGTCGTACAAATTCATGCGAATCACGTGCTAAATATTGGCGTAGAAAAGTTTGCTGAAAAGTAGTTTTTCCGCTTGGGTGGGGCCGGAGAAACGTTTCCCCCGCCCCGCCCGTGGAAAATTGCATTTTGCGGGCGAACCGCTGCCGTACAAATTTCGGAAATAGTCGTACAAATTCATGCGAATCACGTGCTAAATATTGGCGAAGAAAAATTTTGAAAATTTTAAATGGGTGGGGCTAGGGAAATGTTCGTAAATAATATAACGAAATAAGGAATAAAAAAAATAATAATAAAATAAAATATTATCACGTGCATAAAATAAATAATACGTAAAACAATATTCTATGAAATTAAATAAAATAACATTACGTGCATAAAAATAAATATATACGTGAAATAATATTCTAAATAATAAATTATATAACAATAATTTTTAACTATTTCAGAAATTAAGAAGAAAAACAAAAGGTTAATAAAAAAAGAAAAACGTAGAAATTAAAATATATAAAAATGGGTGAGAACGTACCACCTGTAACACGAACCGATCGAATGCAACTACAAACATTTGAATTCTTCAGAGAGTTGAAAAACGAATTAATTGAATCGACCAATCATACACAGATAATGCGAGGGGAAGTAGTCAGATTACATTGCTTCCCGGAGCACATAAGAAGGGCGAATAATAACATGACCATACCTTTCAGGCCAAATATCTTAGCACGAGTTATGATTCATGTTAATGACTTTGTACGCACGGTTATCGTACGACCAAATCATAATAGACCCATGTGTGTAGAGTTGGGTTTACTATTAGAACAGTTGATCAGGAGGCGTGTGATCATCGAAACAATTTTCGAAGAATAACCTCAGGAAACATATATTATATACATAGCAATAATTACTAAGAAACCAATTAATTTAAAAAAATATATAATTATTTTATTTTAGCTCACAGATACGCTTTTTTATAATGGACTTCGAGTTCTTTACCGTCAGTAAGAACGAAACATTACTGGTATCCGGCGCAATATCGAATAGTTTAGAAAAGTACCAACCCAAGAAATTGGAGTGGAGTCCTCTTATACTTACAAAAGATGATAAGTTAAGAAGATTCCGCCGATGCGACCTAAAGAATATAGTGCAGAATATCAAACGAGTATTCCGCGGGAAAAAGGCAAGAGTGATTGAACCATTGCTGGAACAATTATACAAAAGTGTAAGTCACCAGGGGGAATCGACCTTGTCTACGGTATACTTGCAAAGATATTTGCACATAAACGATAGGGAGCCGCTAGTAGTATTTTGGAACGGATCATCAGATATCACAATAATTAAGCGTTTAAGGTTAACAGGAATTTTAGCATATTTAAACATATCTGCAATTAGTATTAGGAATAATGATGAATTTATATTTGTTGCGCCGTTACCGATCCTACGAATTGTGCGGTTGTCGGCAACGACTTGCGTAACGTGTTGAAGGCTGGAGCGGGGACGGGTTACTCAATATATGCGTACAACTCAAATGTGAGGTCGGAAACACGTTTAATGTGTGTAACAAAATATAATAATTATAAATAAGTAACGGGCGCCCAAAATAATCAACTTAAAATTAAGTACAAATACAAGACAGCTGCTGAACAATATTATATTTTTAAACCACCCACTGACACGTGGGGCAAAATAAAAAGGGTCGACCTGAATACGGCTGCTTGCTGGCTCGACGACTTCGTGGCGACGATGATCCCTGGTGCCGACCAATGGAGGTCCCTCGCCGGAACGGCGACGGCGGACAATTCTTCAGATCGTCGCTAACACGCAGGGGCGTCATTTCAACTTTTCAATAGGGATGCAAACATTTGAATCAGGCCAATTGTTCCCTCCACCAGGCCATTTATATATCCTGTTTATTTAGCGGAACTTAAAAAAATTTCCGATCGCTTATATCCCCACATTTTAATATTCAAATACTCACTAATACTTTTTTTTCAAACATATTTAACCAATTTCATATATATAAAAAAAGATGTATTTAATAATATTTGTATTAAACAATAACATAAAAAAAAATACAAAAGCTAATTATGTACTTTAACTAAGTAAATAGGTATAACAGTAAAAGTACTAAAAGTTATTAAAAAAGTGGATATCTCCTATTCTTCATTTTCCCAAAATCATCCACAGCTTTATTTAAATCTATTTTATTGGCCTCGTCCTTTTCAACGCTTATTATCATGAGATCACTGAGTCGCTCGTCACCCATAGAAGTACGTATATAAGATTTTACATTTTTCATAGAAGAAAAAAAGCGTTCATTAGATGCTGTAGATATTGGAAGAGTTTTAAAGTTTCTGAAAATGAACTAGGAAGTTCAATGAGAACATCTACAATCATTTCTAAGTCCGGTCTTAAAATATGTATATGTTCAAGCAAAGCTTTAGCAGATGAAAATTCTGATTTGACTTTTATTTTATTAATTTCAAAATATTTATAATGATCTATGAAGAACTCTAAAGATGGACACTTTGGATTGAAATAATATAAGCTTGTATAGTCGAAAATCTGAAATATCTTAAATAATTCTTGGTTTTTCTCAGAAAAGCGAGTTTCTAATTGTTGTACAAATCTGAAATTGTTAACAAGCGTAAAATTAAAGCCATACATTCAAAGCTTATAGACTAGTTATTACAAAATATATAAATATTTAAAAAATGTATGAACTACCTAATTATTAAATAAATAAAAGAAATATATATAATTTAAAGTATTATCAACTTGGAAATTTCAATGAATAATAATACCTAATATGACAATGCATAAATACCTGTCAATAATGGAATATAAAACTTCAGCTTTAAGTGTTGGAACTGCCCTCATACCTTTTGAATTAGACTTTCCAAGTGTTGAAGTTACAAAATAATCTTTAAAATTTTTGTTGAATGATATATTTCTTTTTAAGCGATTATTTCTTTCCTCATATTCTTCTACACGTACCTTGTTTTGAAGTGCAATTTGTTTTGATTGTTCATAAATATTTTTATAAGTTTCATCATTGCGAAGATTCTGAAGACTTTCTTTAGTTGAATTAACTAGGTTCATTACCGATGGTAATAATATTGACTTTGACTGGAGCTCACATGATGTACAGTGAATACGTTTTAGTATTTTTTTTATAACACATAATATAATTATGAACTTAAAAGTTGAAATTTCTTCTAACAAACCAATGGCCCTTGCAGTTTGGTCTCCTTCTGTTGTCAATATAGTAAGTACTTCTCTTATTTCTGTATACCTTAGTTTAACTTTTTCTAAAGAAGTAAACCAGTATGACCAGATGGTTTCAACCAATCTCTCCAAATGTAAGACTTTAAGATTTTTTTTTTTTGAATACTTATAAATAGTTCATACCTTGTATGACCATTCATCAAATATTTGTACAATCCTTGAACAGTATCAAAAAAATCTGTAATCAATTTGATGTCTTCTATTGAATTAATTAAACATAGGTTGAGGCGGTGAGCGTAGCAATGAATATAAACAGCATGTGGTACTAATTCAGTTATTCGTTTTTGAACCCCAGAAAACGGACCGCTCATGACAGATGCACCGTCATAACATTGTGCTACACAGTTATTTATATCTAGTTTATTTTCTCCAACCATCTGAATAATAGCATCACTTAATGATTTTGCATCACACTTAGTCATGTGATAACAACCCAGTGTTTTTTCATGAATATTCAAATTGTTATCTGTAAATCTTATTATAAAACTTAACTGTTCTTTCTTGCTAGAGTCTTTGGTTTTATCAACTAATACAGCAAATGCACCAAATGTTGAAATATTTTTTAAAATGATTTCTTTGGTACAAGAAGCAATTACATGTATCAACTGATTTTGTATAACAGGAGAAGTATAATGACCATAAGTTGTTTTGGATAATAATCTAATTTTCATACTTTCATCACAGAACATTTCAATTAATTCTTTTAAATTTCCTTTATTTGATGAATTTTGTTCTTCATTTTTACCTCTAAAAGCAAGTCCTTGCTTTCCTAAAAATAATGTTGTTTTTAATAAAAATTTAACGTGTTCACGATTTTCAGTAATTGCTTGAGATCTAGAATGAAACAATGCATTGGCCACTGAATTATTTTTATTTTTTACACTTAAGTACATCGTCCATTTTTCAATGTTTGATAAATGTCTTTCACTTAATTCATGTTTTATAAATGACGGTTTCTGTGTCTTCCAACGATTAAAGCCTTGTTGCACAAATACAATATTGTTTTCAATTTGACCACGAACATTATTATTATTAAGAAAATGCCTGCAGGAAAAGCAAAAAACTGCATCTCTTGAAATTGAATATTCCAACCAGTTATGTACTTCATAATACTTTGCATTAAAAGACCTTCTTTCAGAGTTCATAGGAAATGATTTTAAAATTGGTTGAATTGGACTTTGATCTTTTGAATTAGAAATATCATAAATCTAAAAACAATAAAATATCAAGGTTTATAAATAGATTCTATGAAATTGTATTGTAAATTAATTTTAAAGTACAATATTCGTTTAGGTCAGCGTTTCCCAAACTTTTGTTTGGGCTGGCCCGGTAATTTATATTTTTCATCTTCGTGACCCACCAAAATATTTTACGTTTATAATTGTGTAATAAAAGGCAAAATAAAACACATTTGAATATCTACATAGAATTTTTTAATAAAATTAAAGCGTTCATTTATATTTTGAAACTACAATGTAATAATTATAATACAGTTACTAATTATATTAGTTGACTACTATCAGTGAGAAGTATGAAGCTGTTTATTTTTAACTAGGAACTCCAAGTTTGCTGGAAAGGACGTTAATTTTATTCTTAAGTCCGGTTCAACTTCCAACCGATTCCTGTATTTATCCTTCAGGAACACGAGTGTTGAAAATCCTGCTTCACACTTATAGGTCGTGACAAAAGGCATTAGAAATTTTATCGCTTGTTCTGCTACAACTGGGTACTCTTTACGACAAGATAACCAACAATCTATTAATGGCCGTTCCTTATATATTTCTTTGAGTGCCGTGTCACACGAGAGTTCAATTAATGATTCAACATTTAAGTCCGAAAAAGTTGTTTCAATATTGATTGAAAATGGGTTTCTTATCCATTCTTTGTTACTGTTAATTGGAGGAAAATATTCTTTTAGATTAGTTTCCAGTCCTTGCAAATGTTCCTGAATAAGAGCTGATATATCGTGTGGCAATGTGGCATGAAACTTATGTTATTCTCTTTTTGAAATGCTGTCAGCATTGTAAAAGCCTCGTAATTTCCTGTTTTTATGCGACGTGACCACAAATTAAGTTTTTTTGTTGCAGCTTCCACCTTCTCCTGCACTTTAAATATTGTCACATTTTCACCTTGAAGTGCCAAATTTAAATTATTCAAAAAATCAAACACATCACAAATGTAGGCTACCTTAACTAACCAATTAGCATCATGAAATCTGTCTTTAAATTCAAATATTGCATCTTTAGATGTTGGAGGATTTTGTTCTAAGAATACCGAAACTTCTTCCTTCAATTCGATTAGTCTTTTCAAGACATTCCCTCTCGATAGCCATCGCACCTCACAGTGTAAAAGAAGATGTTCATGATCACTCCCCATTTCTTTGCACAAAGCAGAAAATATTCTCGAGTTTAGTGGACGAGATTTAATAAAATTTATAAATTTTACACACTCTTGCATCGTTTCAGTTAAAGACAATGGCATTTTTTTGACTGCTAATGCCTCTCTGTGAATACTACAATGACCCCATACACATTCCGGCGCTACAGCTTTTACTCTTGGAAAAAGTCCAGTACGAATACCTGACATTGCACGTGCTCCATCGCTACTCAATCCCACACATTTATTCCATTCAATGCCATTCTCAATAATATATCTATTGATTAAATTAAATAATTCTTCTGCTGTTGTTCTTGTTGGCAGCGATTTACAAAACAATAACTCTTCGTGAGAAGTATTTCCAAGATCATATCTTACAAAACACATTAGATTAGCATTATCTGACACGTCTGTACTTTCATCAACTTGTAAAGAAAAATAATAACACGATTTGAGGTGGCCTACTATTGTTTCTTCGATGTTATTTGCCATATCCACAATTCTACGCTTCACCGTGTTATTCGACAACGCCAACAAATTTACTTGTTTTTCCTGTTTTTTTTCGCATATTCGAGATGAAATTATTTTCATTGCCGGAAGTATTAATTTTTCACCGATTGTGTGTGGATAACCCGTTTCAGCAATTAATTTTGATATTTCATAAGAAGCCAATACAAGGTTTTCAGTTTGAGGACTAAGTGAAAACATTGAAGTCATATTTTTTTTGGAACTTTTTAATTGTCTTCTCCTGTTAATGAAAAAATCTATAGGCTTTTCTTTGTATTCAGGATGCTTCAATTCTAAATGCCTCTTCAACTTCGAAGGCTTCATGGACTCGTTTGAAAGTTCTGCATTACATATTACACATACCTAATGGTTTGTTATCATCGCCCTCGATAAAGCCAAATTGAATGTAATTTTCAAAATACTGTCGAGTCCAGGCCCCCCTTTTTTTTTCGTAAGAGAATTACTTTGCGCATCGGACGACCATTTATTAGAACCAATATTAGAACTTGTACTTACATCACTCGACTCTTGGTTGGTGTTTCTTATGGAACCGGTACTTATTTTTATTAACCACTTATCCATTATAAATAAACGCGAGAAAATAAGACGCGTATACGTATTACAATTTTAATAACTCGTCGTAGACGTGCGTCGTTTGACACCAAGGTTCAAACTGAAATAAATATTTAGCCATTGCTATAATATGCCTATATCGGTAATTCATTTGTAGATAACGGATAACGGATTAGTGCCGTAACATCCAACGACGCTTGTCATTCATTTAATACTATTATAATGTATTTATAGATACGGCGAATGTCATACTATTCGGGTTTTTCATGAAGCCTAGTTGATAATCTCAATAATTATTATTTATGTTGTAAATAATAGTTATTCGTATTAATGAATTTATTTTTACTTAAAAGTTTAAATTATCAAACGAAAATGATAAATAACAAATTTAATATGAGAATTTCATTAAATTTTGCGACCCGGTATTAAATTTTTTATGGCCCGGTAGTGGGTCGCGACCCGGTATTTGGGAAACGCTGGTTTAGGTCGTTTAGGAAATATGTTATGTGTTAAAACTATTGAAAATGAATTGGAAATATTTTAGGGGAAAAAATATGTATTCATAAGAAATAAAAATGTTTTTATTATAATTGTTAAAACATTAATTTTCTACCTTATTGGTGTTAACATATTTAAAAAATAAAAATATAATATTACTTAAATATAATAGGTACATTATATAAAATAATTAGTATCCATTATTAAATTTATAAAAATATGACTCATTAATTAATTATTACAATACAAAATGTTTGAAAATTAAATAAAAAATGTTGATTGTCGGGTATATTATTTATATAACTGATACAAAATTATGAGATTATATAATAAATATTATTATACTATAACAAATATAATATAAAAATGAATAATAATAAATGGTTTTTGGGTAATATCATAATAGTTATGATTTATGAACTATATTGCCACAGTTTGTAAAGTTTGTGATTGCTAATCTAAATCCTAAATGAGTTTAATATTGGGAAATAAATTGATACAGGTACATACCTCTAGATTAATCAGATTAATATTGGCATTTTTAACTTCTACATTTGTGTCCATCTGTTGTTCTCCTTCAATATTGTCTTGAATAGATGCATCAGATGTAAGAGACTTTGGGATCTAAATACCAATGAAAAATATTCTAAAATAAACAGTACCTACCTAATTGTTTGTTATAATAAATTCACAATTTTAACTTACAACAGTGTTCAAGTTTTCAGATATATCTAATTTCAACTTATTATCACCATTTACAATGTCTAGTTCATTTCTAACATCATCCTAAAAAATAAAAATAGCATAAAAATATAATGTTAATATTTGACACATTGGTATTTGGTCTGAGTATTGTTTATAAATACTATTATTTATAATCAATGGTCTTAGACATTTAAAAGTTCAACATGATGTTATTTTATTTTCGAGTCAAAATATTCATAAACTTACTGTAGTTTTAAGCTGAGTTTTTGAAAACATTGTACCTATATTATGGCATGTAGCTGCTGCGGCCAATAACAGTTTTTTCTTTTTATCTCTTTCACGAGCAGCACCGCCTGTTCTCTTATTTTTATTTTCCATAATAAATTGCTATATAATATAATATTAATTATTACTGTTCACTACTTGCTCATCGCAAAAAGAATAAAATATAAATCGTCAACTCGTCAAGTTACTACAAAAGTACAAACTTGAAACTACAACTACTCTGAACTACCATGTACAGCGACGGCCGTTAGGCGTTAATTATATACATAGATTAGTATATTATTATATATCATCAACCATAGAGCTTGTCTACGTTGTCATCATTCAGTACCTAATCATTGTCACCAACATAAAAATAAAAATAATAGATTAAACAATGTCACGGACTAAGATATACAGGACTGGTATCGACATGGCCGGGGGGTAGTAGAAGGCCGGTCCTCAAATGTTTCTAATGGTACAGGTGTGGTTACTAGCGCATTCTAGTAGCATATATTGGCAACGTACTAAAATAATTATTTTTGAAATAATAATATATTAATATAATTATTGAAATTGTATTTATGAAACCTAATATAGTGGTTACTGGCTATTATATTTTGTAGACGTATCATCAGACTTAGTTGACTGTCGTAACGTTAGGTAATGTTTATCTATATTTTATTATATTGCTAATTTGTTTTACCTATTTAATTTTATTACAATTCACTAATATTCTTTTTTTTTTCATAAAATAATATACACTGTTGGTTTTTTATATAATTAATATATTTATCTAATATCTATGTAATATGTATATATTTTTAAAAATAAAGTTTGTTTTAATAAAGTAATATTTTTGGAAGTTGTTATATTATCCCGTAATAATACCAATCGGTAAAAGTATGGTCTTACAGTATTTAGTCAAGGCAGTAGTTAGATAATAAATATTATTAATTTAAGTCATAAAAAACCTTAAATTTTAAGTACATTGCATTGAATATCATACAAATACCTTATTAATTCTAATAGTTTCATCTCTACATTATGCATATTAATTATTAATAGGTCTATGATCTCTACCTACATAATATGACCATTTATGTTATGAAATATCAACATTTTTCAAACTTTAAATTACTTCAGTAATTTGTACTAAGTAGAAAGCATCAAATAATTATACCCTTAGTCATTAAAATAACTTATGTTAATTTTAAAGAAAATATCAAATTTAATAACTGCAAAAAGTTTGCCGGTGTAGATTGTACAATGAATATTATGATTAATGTGTACTTTCTAAAATAGATGGCGCTAGGTACTACACTTGTACCTTTGGAAACATTTAGGGATCACTGATAATGTTTTCGATACCAGTCCTGTATATCTTAGTCCGTGACAATGTTAATAAAACCGGTCGTCGACGGTCTATGTAGTGGGAGAAATGAGACCACGAAAGAACGGAGAGTTGTATAGGTACTATACTCTGTCCAGCGAGAGAACGGGCCGGTTCTGCGCATGCAGACTGACGAGCGAGCGAGCTCCGAGGCCCCATTTCCCCCTCTCTCGGCGTGCCGAAGACGGTCGATCGAACCGTCGCCGATGATCGGGAATCAACCACCTGTTGACTATTGCCGCCCGTATAACACGTGCAATATTTTACCGGCTTACCGCATTAATTATTGTATGCAACGTAATTTTAATAATACAACTTTTTTAATATGAACACTTAGTTTTTTCTACATTTTTCGACAAATAAATGTAGTAAAAACACGTTATTATAATACCTTTGTCATAAAATAAACGTAAAATATTTTATTAATATTTTTTTTTATAGTCAACTTTAACAATTAATTTCATATGCAATAAACATAATACAAAATACATTAAAAGTAGGTTAATAACCATTGTCATAACAATTAAAAAAAAACAAAAAAAAAATACAAAATACATATACATAATAAAAATTCATGACAATTAAACATTTGTATAAACAATATATTTATTCTAATGCTACACATCCAAGGTCATCTGAATCGGACGTGTCCCCAGTGATCGTCATTACATGTAAATTGTCGTCATCCATCACATCATCGACGGTCATGTCCACATTCCAAAATCTGTCTTCTATTTGGATGACGTGTTTGACAAAATTCTCCCACATTTCGGGAGTGCATTGATTAACACCATCAATCAAATGTTTTTGTACGTCCGGAAGTTTGAATGTGGTATTGTTTGACTTCACATACCTTTTTACGGACGACCACGCAAGTTCAATTGGGTTCAACTCACAATGATACGGTGGCGTCCGTAATACCGTCATATTTTTAGTTTTGACGTATTCGTCAACAACGTATTTGTTGAACTGCGGTTTAATACGCTTTACGATTTCCATTAGTCCTACCTTGTTGATCGGCCTTTGGAATGGTTCACCCTTTTCTTCAAGCCAACTTTCAATTTCCGCCTTTTTCCATCCTAATGTTGGGCATTTTTCTACTTTAACTGAGTGATAAGGCGCATTGTCCATAACTATGACAGAATTGTCTTTAAGTAATGGAATGACGCCTTTCAACCAGTCGAAAAAAACATCACCATTCATTTCTTCGTGATAATCTGAAAAACCTTTTTTGGATTCGAATACCAATAAGCCACCGTCGACAAAACCCTCGTTTGATCCAATATGAACAACAATAAGTCGTTTCCCTTTTGCTGTAGGATTCGGTGCGCCAGTAGAAAGACCGCTCAAAAAGGCATCTCTGTGGGACGTAACAGTATTATCCTGCCATATTCTGTCGTTACAGTCACCTGCGTTGACCCAGGTCTCGTCCAGGTAGTATATCGTTCTTCTTTGTGCCCGGTATTTACGTATATCTTCAATATATTTTGTGCGCCATAACACAATATCATCTCTCTCTATGAGAGCGCTGTTACGGCCACGTTTGACGTATACAAAATTTAAGTCATGTATTAGTAAATGTAGAGTAGACCTTTTGTATGTGTTTAAGTCTGGGTCTTCGTTAACGGCTGTTAAAATTTTATCCAGTGTAGGTAACTGTTTTCGGAACCAAAACTCGTGCACCTTCCTCCGTATCGCGTCACGTTCAAAATCATCAACTTTTTGTTTATATGTCGCTCGAATTTTTGATTTATTTGGCGAACTCACAGTTTTTTTGTTTTTGTATTCAGCAATTGTTGACTGGATTGTATTTTTACCAATACCCAATTCTTTTGAAATTATCATCGCTACTTCTTTAACCTTTAACGTTGGCTGTTGTATCATTTTTGATTTAAACAAATTTACAATCATCAGTTTTTGACGACTTCCGACGAACTGAAAAATGAAGACAAAAAAAATATATTGATTACAAATCAAATAATATTCTTTAAAAAATTACAAAATGTAATATATTAAGGGGCCTAGTACCGGTTTTCCAAATTAAAAACAATTAAAATTTATCCACACTTACTTTTCCTCTAGGGTTCACCTTTAATGGTGTACTAGAAACTGGTCGCTCATCACTCATTTTAAAATTATATTATTCGTACGAAAAAAAGATATAATTTTCACTTGAGTTACGTATAATAAATAGTAAACACACTTCGCGCTGGAATCAGGAATGTACTACGAGCATCAACTGGAATCGTCGGACACGTGCCGCCGGTCGTCGGAAAGCGACGTCGGTCGTCGGAGCGCGACATCGGTCGGTGGGCCGTCGTTGTGAGCACACTGGGCTGGGTACGCTCGGGGATGCGCGAAAACGGGCCGATTTTGGTCGGCGCGCGGCCCGTTCTCTCGCTGGACAGAGTATAGGTACCGATCGTGGCCGCTGATCACAGAGCTCACGGACACCTCGTGTTCACACGAGGTTTTATGACACACACGGGAACGATAGCGCGAACGTTGCGCTACGTTCAGCCGTTGGAAAAAAAAAGACAGTTTTTAAAATGTTCACGACGGCCGATGGCCAGCTCGACGGCCGTCGACGGCGGCGCGGGACTACGGAGGGGGAAAGCGTCGCTCGGAGCTTCGACGTCTAACGCGACTTGGAGTGTCCGTGCTTTTACCTTTGTTTTGGCGGCAAACCCGTTCCGCGTTCGAACAATATTAGAATTAACAAACCTAGAAACTAAGCAAGTATTATTTTCAGGCTATTTAGGTAATAAAAATGGTAGAATGTTAGGATTTTCAGAAGCTCATGAAATAACATGCGATGTTAATCATAATATTACACATAGTCATGACCCGATTGCTGACGTAATTTTAACAAAATGCCTATTTAATTATATAGTAACGGAAATAAAGCCCATTAAATTATATAAATTAGCAAAAAATATAAAAGGAATTTTAAGGCAAAATAAATAAATTATTATAATTAATAAATAAATCTAACACAAAATAAATTAAACAATGAAAACAAATAAATAAATTAACATTTATATCCAATTACATAATGAATTACCTTAAGTAGAACTATAGTTGCATATGTTTATGGCAAATTTAACGATTATTCACATAGATTAGTATATAGGTGGAAGATGATAATATTATTATTATATAAAGGGGAAAATACTTAAAATTTATACTTACATAACGCTTATAATGTTATAACTTCAGGTACACATATTATTTTATTAAAGATTATTAATCCTTCTTATTAACACTAGTTATTTAATTAAATCATGTATTTATGTTCATGTTTTTATATTACTAACTACAATATACAAATTGTAATAAGATTAATAAAACAATAATAATAATAATGATGACATTAAAAATTGTAAAATGTTCATATTATTGGAATCAAATGTAATAATGTAATCAAATTGTTAACTGTATACAAAAAATTGATATCAATGTAAACAATGTAATTCAACCATTGTAAACTATTTAATTAACGATGTAAAAGATTTTTAACCCTTAAAGGTTAACAATCTTTTTTTTGGTAGGTGTAGTGGGATTAAGTAATATCATGTATTTGCTCATAAAAACAACAGGAATGCGACCACACCCAAAAGTGTTTACGACTAGAATACCACTTTTAGTCGTGAGGTCCATATCAAGAACGACTGTACACGCGCCGCCTGCTTTCAAAGGACGCCGCCACCATATACATATATAGGGGACAGCGAGACAGCCTGAGTTAGATGTACCAGGGCCGCCAAGACCGAGCGGACCGCTTAGCCACCAGCCATTACACACAACTTACACGGAGATTATCATTCTAGAACGAGCTACAATTCACTCAACTACACAATCAACACGACTGTTCTGCTTATTTTGTCTGGTTTAATAAAATATATTTGATTACTATACTAATTTGACTATTATTATTTATCAAAGTACATCATAAATTTAATAATATAAATTTAAGCTCAATGTTTTATTAATATTAAGATGCATTAACGATGTTTAAAAGTTTATATTATTTTTCATGTAAGTAATAGTTATATTTCTCTATTTGTACTTTGTTTTTTGTTTTTTGTAATCATAGTATTTAAGTTTCCGTTCTTGTATTTGTCAACTTATTATATCATATGTTCAAAGGGCTCAAGCCCGTTAAATCAACCAATAAATAAATAAATAAAATAAATAAATAAATCTCAGTCTTTTGAGCTACAGTAAAAAGTTAAAACAATCAAGCATATTTTACTTAACATAAAATTATAACATATTATTACAGAATGATATAGGTAAAAAAATACAATATTATAAAATATGCATTGTATATCAACTGAATATAAACAAAATTTATCATATTAGAAAATCTCAGTCTTTTGAGCCTTTGAGGTACAATTAAAAGTTAAAACGATCAAGCATATTTTAACTTAACATAAAAATATAATATAATAATATAACATATTAGGTATTACATAATAATATAGGTAAAACAAATAAAATATAAAATATGCATTATATACCAACTGAATATAAACAAACTTAACTTTTATAACAAAAATACAAAATGTATCATACTATTAGGAAATCTGTTTTTTGAGGTACCACCATCCAGTTATGCATACATATTATTGGTATGCTTTTTAACCATTTCATTGGAAATAATAAAATTATAGCATGATTTATCTTGTGATTTTATTATGTTTTTACTGTATAAAATACCTGATAATGATTTAGTAGATAGACGATTGCGAGTTTTTGTTTTGTTTAAGTTAATGGTGCTAAAAATTCTTTCCACGCAAGCACTACTATGTGGTAGAATTAAAAGAACAGAAACAGATTTTGTTAGCAAAGGATATATAAGTTTATCATCTCTGTCTGTCATAGTCATAATAACTTGCCAAAATTCAGTTACATCTAAATCAAAATCTAGGTCCATTGTCTTTAAACTTCTCCACTCTCTATCTATGTCATTGAGATCAATATTTAATTTTTGTTCATAAAATGACACTACTTGTCCTAAAGAATTTATATTTTTTATTTCAGATGTCAGTTTTAGAAAAATCAAATGTGGTGAATGAAGTGGGAATCTTTGAAATATTTGGTGAGAGCATTCGACATAAAAATTTAAACAAGTTGTAAGTAGTATAAAATAGACAATTCAAACACACAATGGACCTGATCCCTGATCCTTGGTCCCTGATGCTTGCCCCCTGATGCTTTGAGCCACTGAGCCCGGTCACGTACGTGTGCGAGATATATATTACCGTTATCACTTATCAAATAATATATCCACGCAAGACGTGTACAATCACAGATATATATAATAACTAGATACCCGACTCCATATACCACAACGTAATTAAATTATGATGCCCGACGCCATTTGTGACTATGGAAATGTTTACAAATTCTTATCATTTTTTAATCGTTTTGATATCATACATTGTGATACAAATATTTCATAACAATATACCTACTCATAATATAATTATTTTTTCATAAACTTAATATTATTACAAGTATTTTTATACAGTTATACATAATTATACCATAATTGATGGATGAACCAGTTAAGTTCAACTCATTTTACATTGTACGATTTACTGTATGCCTAAAAATATAAGTTTAAATCAAAGAATCAGTGAATATGAATTAATGGACTTGACTGTAAGCTGCCTATTTCAAAATGTGGTTCAACTGATTTTGACCAGCGACTTCACTCTTTATGATATAGAGATATGTCATCAATCGTAGTTTATTTTGAACAGCTAGGAAGATCGAAAAAGAAGTACTGGATAGAGGCGAGGGAGAAGAAGCTAGTCTACATTAAATGTAATGACAGTGAAAAATGTCTCAGTAAATAAAAACACAGGTAAATATAGGTGTATTAAATGTAATGAGTGAAAAATATACATAATTACATATAGTTAAATATAGGTATATATTAATAATTACTGATTAGCAAACAAAATCAATTTTGTCAGTTTTTGACGTTTACTAACTGCAAAAGTGTTTGAAGTGGTTTTTCCAATGATTTAAGCCTAACACTCAGGTACTTTTTTGTTAATAAACTAATAATTATCATCTTATGAGGTCTTTCCAAAATACTTATATTAGTGCAATCTAATTCTTTGAATATAGTTTGATCCAGAGAAAATGTATTATTACAGTAATGAATAATTTTTTCATCTAACTTAGAAATATTAAGGGATTTCAAATTGTTTGTTAAAATTAATAGCATTTTTTCTACCTCCATTATTATTTTAAAGCTACTCAATGACCTTGAAATTAAACCTCCATTGTTTTTTAAATTTAAAAATTTAGAGTGAGAAAATGAATTATAATTATGATCTGTGTTTTTTTTAATAGGCTATCCTTACATGTTTGGCAATCTAATGTTCTAATGACTTTCCTCACAACATATCCTAAAATATAATACAAAATGTTTTCTTTAGCATTTTGTAAATATGGATTTAAATTATTAAGCTGTTGTAATCTATCTGAAATATCCATATCATAACCATCAGAATTTTCAACTTCATCAGTGAATTCAGCTCTTTTTGTATTCCATTTAAAATCAAATATACTACATATTGCGTCATCGTCAAAAGTGTTGCAGTTACCATTATTTTTACACTTTATGGCATTTTTTGATAAAATCTGTTTCATGGCTGTCTTAAATTGCACAACATTGGGATTATTATTGGACCCACCACTTTGTCTTATTTGGCCAAATAATACCTCCACATGATCTTGAGAAAACTTGTAAGTTAGTAAATAATTAAATTTCAAAGTATCATTTTCAAATATAGATCTGGCAATACTAAAAAGTGACTTGACAGCCATAGCAAATCCTATTACAAATGTTTTTTTGTTTGTTTTACTTAAGTGTTTGTTATCAAATTCAAGGGTATACAAATATGTAATTAAAGGTAGTATTTTTTTCTTCAAGTGAGTTAATGGTTTTTATGTGAATGGGTGATTTAAAATTTTTAGAGAATATACTTTTAGAATTTAAAAAATCAAATAAACGGTAAATTACAAGGCAATATTCTTCGGTTGCACCACAATTTAGAAATTCAAATATATTTTGGTTTTTTAAAAAATTTAAAGCATCGGCTGTGG